ATTTTTGAAAAAAGGTGAAGTTTCTCAAAATAGCTCACCTCGAGTGATACATCATTTTTATCGGAAAGCAACAAGTAATGCAACGAACTGATTAAAAGACACCGGGGCCTTTCCAGTTCCCAAATAATCAACATTTTCGGTCTATTTTGAACGGTTTTTGAGCGGTCGCAATCTTCAACGCACGATATCTTCCTTATTGTCGACCCACAACTTTCATACTCGATATTGGGCAGCTTCCTAGGTCAGAAAGAATCCAATAACGGCAAAAAATACCACAAACTTCCAGGGGATCGATTTTTGAAAAAAAGTTCAAGTTTCTCAAAATATCTTGAATTCTACATAATTTTCATTTGAAAGAGACAAGGAATGCAACGAAATGATTAAAAGACACCGGAGCCATTCCAGTTCCCAAATAATAAACATTTTCGGCCTATTTTGAGCGGTCGCAATCTTCAACGCACGATATCTTCCTTATTATGGAAAATTTCATAGGGGATCGATTTTTGAAAAAAGTTGAAGTTTCTCAAATATCTCGAATTCTACATCCTTTTTATCGGAAATAGACAATGAATGCAACGAACTGATTAAAAGACACCGGGGGCTTTCCCGTTCCCAAATAATCAACATTTTCCGTCTATTTTGAACGGTTTTTGAGCGGTCGCAATCTTCAACGGACGATATCTTCCTTATTGTCGACCCACAGCATCCCAGGTCTGAAACAACCCAATAAGGGCAAAAAACACCACTAACTTCCAGGCGATCGATTTTTGAAAAAAAGTTCAAGTTTCTTAAAATACCTCGAGTGATACATCATTTTTATCGGAAAGAGACAAGGAATGCAACGAACTGATTAAAAGACACCGGGGAGTTTCCAGTTCCCAAATAATCAACATTTTCCGTCTATTCGGAGCGGTTTTTGAGCGGTGGCAATCTTCAACGCACGAAATCTTCCTTATTATCGACCCACAACTTTCATATTCGATAATGGGCAGCTTCCTAGGTCAGAAACAATCCAATAAGGGCAAAAAACACCACAAACTTCCTAGGGATCGATTTTTGAAAAAAGTTCAAGTTTTTCAAAATACCTCGAGTGATACATCATTTTCAGCGGAAAGAGACCAGGAATGCAACGAACTGATTAAAAAGTACAAAAGCCTTTCCAGTTCCCAAATAATCAACATTTTCGGCCTATTTTGAGCGGTCGCAATATTCAATGCACGATATCTTCCTTATTATCGACCCACAACTTTCATATTCGATATTGGGCAGCTTCTCAGGACGGAAACAATCCAATAAGGGCAAAAAACACTACAAACTTCCAAGGGATCGATTTTTGAAAAAAGTTCGAGTTTCTGAAAACACCTCGAGTGATAAATCATTTTCATCGGAAAGCGACAAGGATTGCAACGAACTGATTAAAAGACACCGGGGTCTTTCCAGTTCCCAAATAATCAACATTTTCCTTCTATTTTGAACGGTTTTTGAGCGGTCGCAATCTTCAACGCACGATATCTTCCTTATTGTCGACCCACAACTTTCATACTCGATATTGTGCAGCTTCCTGGGTCAGAAACAATCCAGTAAGGGCAAAAAACACCACAAACTTCCAAGGGATCGATTTTCCAATAAAGTTCAAGTTTGTCAAAATACCTCGAGTGATACATCATTTTCATTGGAAAGCGACCAGGAATGCAACGAACCGATTAAAAGACACCGGGGCCATTCCAGATCCCCAATAATCAACATTTTTGTCTATTTTGAACGGTTTTTGAGCGGTCGCAATCTTCAACGCACGATATCTTCCTTATTATCGACCCACAACTTTCAGATTCGATATTGGGCAGCTTCCTAGGTCAGAAACAATCCAATAAGGGCAAAAAACACCACAAACTTCCAAGGGATCGATTTTTGAAAAAAGGTGAAGTTTCTCAAAATAGCTCACCTCGAGTGATACATCATTTTCATCGGAAAGCGACAAGTAATGCAACGAACTGATTAAAA